GCTGATGAAAATCTCAGTTAATGCAACAATACAATCGTTGTAAGCAATAATACAACGAAGTCACCGTTAATTCAAATTTACCATCAGCAATGAAGTCATAATTTTCTGAACTGTGGACTGAAGCGTCTTACATTTTATGTCAAGGTAGTAGCGATCGGAAAAAGAAACAAAAATACGACTGGTAATAGAATTGGGGGATTTATGAAGTGAAGCGAAAATATAATCTTTTTGTCAGTGTTCTCACAGAATGATTCCACACCATTTTGTGAGAGGTGGTACTGCTTAAAAATTAGGCTTAACAGATAGGTCCAAATTGATTGGGGAATTAATAACCCATGAGCTAATCTTCTCTAGTCGCATATGAAATCTTATGTTTATTTTGTGTTCATGTTCTTCATATAACTGTCTTTTTATGAGATAGAAAATCTATATTCTTTGGGTTAATGGTCATGTCTTTAGTTCTCAATCATTACTTGGTCACGTCACGTTATTGCGTTTATCTGTTGATTAGCATTCTATTCATTGATTTTAACAATCGGAATTTCGCTCATCATGAAAAGCCTCATTTGTAAATATATGACGTCATGTTAAACCATGTTCTCTTCCATCAACTTCAACTAAAAATTAACTTACAGAGAATGTATGGAACAGGTGGAAGTTACGAATATCATAAATAAATAGTCAGAATTATTTCATCTCTGGGTGCAGAAGGTATTGACCAACATTCTAAGAGTACTAGCGTTTATTATGATTGATAGTAATATGATATCCTCGTCTATGTCAAGCTTGTTAGGAAGCCCAGCTTCAAAATCAAATGCAGTCCCAATAAAACACTTCATAGTGAGAAATCAAAACATTGATACCAATTACTTAAGATATACATCTAAGAAACATTAAATTTCCAAAATGTCTGCACTTATAAACTTACCAAAGCCCTTGGCTTGGTACTTTTTCGGTTTTTCAGTTACTATGGCTGGCCACCAAGGCAAGTTTTCGGGCCAATTAGGACGAGCCCAAACCAGCTCTCCAACTTGCCAAGGTTCTTGATTTCGTTGGACAGAGGTGGATTTAGATAACTGTGAATACATCATCTTGCGACTGACTGCCTTAGCTAGTAAGGCTTTCTTACGTGCTGTAGAAGTTAGACTGCTTCTGACAATGTGAGATTTGTTGAAATTTTGCTTCCACTGACTGCGACTTATAAAAATAGGAAATAAAAACAGAATACGTTTCGGGTGTAATTAACAAGGTTTTACTTGATTATTTCAAATAAACTGAGTATTGGATAGACTGTTATTAACAAAAATGATATATATGTAAAATTCAAATGAGTAGCACAATCAATTTTTTTAAATTTCTGGCGTTTCGTGGCTTAGTCCAAGCCACTTCTTTAGAAAATGAATAAACAAATTAAATTAACTCGTTTAAATAGTACAAATGAACAAAGCGAGAATATTTGGTGCGATCAATCAAAATCAGGTCTGACAAAGTCATGTCATTTCCGTCAAGGTGGTTTATGTGAGGCAGGTTTGTGTAATTGTGTATGTATATATGTTAAAGGATGAAAAAAATATGTTTTACTTACAGTTTGAAATTCAATCTTAATTTTACTAGGAAATGATATTTGTCCAAAACATTTGCACTGAAATTAACCTCGAGGTGAAACTAGTTGTAATAAGATTTTAATTAGATAGGATATTCTGTGGTCATTTGTTTGCGACCACATTACTAACAAAAAGCCGGACAAAATCTAGTCTCCACATAACTTGAAAAAATCATCACACAGCCATTAATAACTTTTTCCAAGCGATAAAGGGGGGATAATGATGGCCCCTGGTTGCTCAATCCTCAGCATACGGGGAAAGGTTCCAATTTGTAATAGAGACATGGTCTTGAGCTATAATAACTTGGTAAGACTGAGAGTGAATTCTGAGTTTTCTAACTTTACCTATCAGTATTCACTAGTAAATGTAACATGTAAACAAAAAACAGAGAGTATCAGGTAAAGTGTGTTGTTACTGTGCACATTAGGTCGAAAAAAAGTTGAATACGACGTCACTGTAGAATCTTACATTTTAGTGGGAAACTGCATATGCCGCATAAAAGTGGGTCTGACAGACTTTATATCTTCTTTCACTTCGTCATCTCTGCTTACTTCTTCAGAGCTGCTGTCATGATGAGAACGTAGGAAAGGTTGAGGTTTGGGTTCAGGTTCGTCGCTAAGACAATCTGAAGAAACAGATTGGTAGGAAAACGATGGACTCGTTGGAGGTGAAAATTTAGGACTATTTGGTGACCACTTGATATTTTCTTGTTTCCAAAAGCCGTTGACATTTGTAAGAAGTAAAGTTTCTTCAGGAGAATGAATAGAATTTTCCTCAAGTTCATCCAGAGAACGTACAGATTTGTATAAGTCATCATCATGTTGTGGATTGAGACTGCAGAATTCGTTTGGATATGGATCTGGACTACGTTTTATTGATATTTCTTTGGAATGAAATTCTGGCAAAGGATCAAGTTTATAACATGAGGAACCGGTAGATATGTGTTCACTAACAATATTGTTTATGGGTTGCATATCTGAAAACTAAAAAAGACAAGCCGTTAGTAAACTCAGAAGAAAAACAAGTTTACAGACGGATATCTTAGGAAACAACGTAACCACCAAATGCTGAAATGATTATTTCAAGAACAAGTGCTCATATATTAAGTCCTCGGGATTAAAAATGTGTACAACCACTAAATCTAAGTATAACACTTAAAAATGGTTAACTTAATGTTTTGCTTGAAAACCAATACAAACGTCTAACAATGACTACGTATATATGGCCTTACAACCAGCTTATTTAAAAATAACTACAGAAGGTAACAATATCACATTTGAAAACCACTAAACTAACAAATGTATTTTTGTTCTACCCAAAATTTCTTAGTCTACCAAAGAAAAGGTTTAACTGTTGACACCAAATGGTCACCTATTCATAGACAACAAGATTTGTCACGAATATGTACCACTAGAAATCATGCCTCATATTAGCACCGAAAAAGCTGACCATATGAAAATAATAGTATCAGCTGCAATGATAAGCATTAAAAATGAAGAATATAGTTCAAAATAAATGAGACTGAAAAATTAAAAATTATGAAACGGTGTTAAGATTTACAGAGATACAAAGAATGGGTCCAATTGCAACCAACCTAGGGGATTTTCACCTAACATCACTTAACACAAACGAGCTATTATGAAATCCCCAGTGAAGAAGTTTACATCTCCCCATACATCTAAGACCGACAGTTGGCGGAGCTACGAACTGATATCACATCTTAAAGTGGGATTCATTACCTTTCTTCCACCAACTCGTATGCTAGATAACAAAGGGGATCGAAGTAAATGGTGGTTTGATGTTCATAACGTGCAGGCTTACAGACTTGTAGATTGAGTTCCCATTTCTACTTAAAATCCACGTATGACATAAACATAACGCAGTCGGTGGTTCCATCAAACATAAACAGCAAGTTGGTTTCAAGTACCACATTTTAAAGGCTGCTTATCTAGGGTAATGAAAGAACATAAGCGAACATCACTATATGAAACTAATTACTTCTGGGAAACAGGCTCGTAATAAGCACATAAACGATTAAATTACACCTCGTTACATGTAGTTACGAAATACCCAGCTAGATATAAAGTCGACACTCAAAATCGATCTATGAATAGGCTGAAATCACTAGTCAGTCATGATTGACGCAGAACCTAACACAAATATACACTAGCCCACGTTTCAATGACGAGTTAGTAACATACATAACAAAGAGTTGAAGTATTTGTACGAATAATGATAGTGAGAAGGACCAAACATTGAGAATATGACTTAAAAAGATGTCTGAAGAAATAGGGTGACTCAAGGAAACTCTTAACGCACTGCAACGTTACCACGAGCGAACTGCAAAATCCCTTGAGTTGTTAATGGATAAATGCAGTCTCGACGATAGTAGAACCACTAATGACTCAAATGGGAAGTGCATAAAAAGGTTAGTTTATTAAGGATGTACTACAATCGATATGATAGTGACTCTGCAAGTAATTTGAGCTTTGTTCTTCGCTTACGGTGCTTACAGTTAATAGCACAAAATTATATAGGTTACAACAACAACTTTATTGCATTTTTTCAAGCAATAGGCTTCGATGAGCGCATAGAACTTGATCAATGAACAAGTCTTTTACTAATAAGACCAATGGTCCCATCCTTATACTACTTGCTTCGTAGCTGAAAGTTTAGTACGTGAAACATCTAATAACCGATACGTTAATGGGTTCAATATCGAATTGACGTCTACACGATGAGAATCCTGGAGAAAATTCCGATTAAATGTTGCTACCATTCGAATGAAAACCCTAACTCAATTATACGGACAAATGTGATAAAGAGTAAACTTTCACGTTACCACGACAAATTAATGCGATGAAGTAAAGATCGAAAGAACCTGACAAACTACTACCAAAAAATTCAAATGTTATAATTTATACTCATTACCATAGTTAACAGAGGTCTGTTACAGCATGAGTGACACGTCTAAATAGCACCGTTGAATCATTTTCCATAATTCCGAAAATCATTTCATATGAACACATAACTATCCAAGAATTTTGTCATGATTGATGTCTAATAACTAAATCTTCAGACATATTTAAAATTAGCATCTGAGATATTCTTAGCTTCCCCATCTAAGGAACTTATCTTTTACTTCGTGAACGGTCGAAACTATGCTGATTAACGAGGTGTAATTTCCTTACTAACAAATCCTTTAATACATTATGGACTTCAAAATATCAGGTAATCCACAAAATAGATAGATAAAAAAGAATTCTGGATTAAAGTTCTTCGCTTAAAGCAATCTTAAACATTGTTTAGAAACTGAATAACAAATTACGTTGCAGCAATATATAATTTACTAAAAACTCATCCAAATCGAAAGCAAACGAGCAAACCAAAACAACGTAGGCGATTTAGAGAACTTTATTTAATTATATCATATTTTCTGAAGTTTTTAATCCAAATTCGCAGAGATTTCAGGTACAACGAAGGCCTTTCCCTGTTTTTGGAACTCAGCTCTAACAAAAAGTGACATTTTTATCATGAATACCTTAAATGGTGAGTAAACTCGTCATCCACAATATCATCATCCCAGTTGTCTTCCCAAACAGTGGCTTCCTCGTTAGGATGGCCTTCTACGCAAGCTACAGTGATTTTGAAAATGATTATTTACATGTACTTACCATGAGCTGGAAACTCTTCGAAGTCGTCATCTTCCTCCAAAAGTGTAATATCTATCTTCTCGACTGGCTTTTGGTTTTTCTTTTCAGACCTATCCTCAACTTTAGATTTCCCTTTTATCTCACCGACGGTCATTTTATTCTAGTGACGCTACGCTTTAGAATAACCACACTTAGTAGGCAACCTCAAGGTCAGAGATATAAATTCTAAACTTACCATTCGTGCACTTCGTATGAAGGCAGTGTTTTAAAGATCAATGTTGCTGATCCGCTCATATTTTTTATGTTCATTTTATTATGGAATGATTCATTCAAAGACTTACAGCTGTATGTCTGTGGAAGTACGCGCAAAGGTGATAATACAAATAGTTCAAATGGTTATGGACGGAATAGAAGAAGCTTTCACTTAACAGGCTTCAGTGTCTAGTAGCAGGGGATCCCCAAATCCTCCAGGCAGGAACCTAGGTATGTTAACAATAAAAGAGGAAAAGAAATCAGTAAATTATTGTGTGATACTATCCTTAGTCTTTAATAATAATAGATCAAGCTACCTCTTAAAAGACTCATTGGAGGTCGCTTGGACTAGCTCGGCCGTCAGCGAATTCCAGCATTCGACAACTCTTAAGGAGTAGAAGTTGCGTCTACCGTCCGTTCTGCTATGTTGTGTCTCCAGTTTTTGGGTGTTACCTCTTAGATTAGTGTTGGAACTAAGCTCAAGTAGGTGTTTGACAGGATATCCAGAAGTGTTAAGGTTACTGTAATCCATTAGAAAGTCACCTATAAGACGCCTTCACTATAATGGGTAAAAGTTTGGTGAATGGAGGCGCTCTTCATAAGGCTTGAATTTGAGTCCCCGAACTGATTTTGTGCCTAACCGTTGGATACGCTCCAGAGTGTCCTTATCCTTTTGGAGTGAGAGAGGAAATACTATGTTTCCGTACTCTAAATGGGGACGAATGAAACTGTTGAAGATTATGTGGAACGTTCTCCAGTCAAACTGACCAAAAAGGGTGAATCTATCCGCAACGCAACCATGTACACTTAATGTATCGCACAGGGTCATCTGTGCGTTCAAGCAACTACAGATTTTGTCATTTCATAATGTATTTTAATTAAATAACTAGATTATGTTGTTAATTTTGCTCTGTTTTTAGTTTTTATTCGCCACGTCCGACTGCGTTACACTGTACGTTCACTGCACGCTGAGATGTTATCCCAAGTCATAGTGAGTTTAATCACATGGTTGATTGTTTCCAGATAAACCTTCAGTGCATAATGTCACTGAAGAAAGGTTTGTTTTACTGTAAACTATGTTTCTATGAACAACTGACTGTTGTCTTCAGTCGGAAAGCAATACATACATCCTTTATCTTCTGTTAGGTAAGTTCAACTGGCCTGTATTTCGTGTTTTGGTTTTATCGGCTTAATTATGTCCATTTAACTACTTTGAGCAACGTGTCTGTGCAAATGGAACAACGACTATGACACTTGCTTGGTTTAGTATTCTTGGTTGTCGTATAATTCAGTTTAAACTGATTAGTTGAAAGAATTATGATATACTTAAGTATAGTGCTTGAAGCCTGTAACGAAACAGATCAGTTTAGTAAGTAGAGTTGCCTGTTTCTAATGAGTATACTGATTCAGATCAGTCTGATTTAAAATCTTTTTCCACTTGGGATACTACTAGAGAGGAGGTACCTAAGTTATAACTGTAGTCTGCGACATGTCGCAGATGAACTACTTTACACTTTGAAGTGTTAAAGGTAAGTCCGTTATTATCTGCCCAAAGTTTCACGTCGTCGGCAAAAAGTAATACGTCTGACGTTACCTGTTGAGGAAGATCATTTATGTAAATCAGGAAGAGAAAAGGTCCTAGTACTGAGCCCTGGAGGACCCCACTAGGACATTCCATAGCCTGAGATAAAGTGAAATTAACCCTGACTTTAAAAGTCGATTTTTCAGGTATGAAGTGAGTCAATCGACTAGAGATGGTCTGATACGCAATCGTTTGAGCTTATTGATAAGACATGTATGGTTAACCTTATCAAAAACTTTTGAGAAATCTAGGTAGATGATATCAACTTACCCCTTGTGATCAAGGATGCTTATCCATCTGTCCACCGCAGTCAGCAGGTTGGTAATACAAGAGTAACCCTTCCTGAAACCATGCTGTTGGGGTGAGAAGAAATTTAAGGACAGCAATTAGTCATTTTTACCATCGCATATCAGGGACTCCATTATTTTTGAAGGTATTGAGAGAAGAGCCACCATTCGGTAACTTGAAGGTTCGCTGCGTTGACCTCCTTTGAAAATTAGTGTGATATGAGCCAGCCTCCAATTTTCCAGTAATTTGCCTTGACTTAGCGAGTGTGAAAACATCACGCTAAGCGGCGCTGCCAGGATTGAGGCTGCGTCCCTCAGTATGGCAGGATGAACCATATTCGGGCCAGGAGAAGTATCTAGTCTTAAGTGCTGCAATTTACGGAACATCAAGTCAGCGCTTAGGTTCACTTCGGAAAGTCTTGTGGAATTGCAGATGAAACTGTCATCAGTAAAGTTGATGTCGGTCGGTTGAAATGTCTGGGAGTAATGCTCAACTAGAAGGTTAGCGGCGTCGCCATCGTTGTTGGGCCGTTAAGACTTACCAGTTGGGAAACTCCAGTTTTGGCTTGACGAAGAGAGGCTGTATAACGGAATAAGCTTTTGGGATTAGAGGCAAATTTGTCCAAAAGCTTTGTATTGTATTGAAGCCTATCTTCTCTTATAGCCTTCGTGCATATGTTCGTTATATGTCTATATTGCCTGTACGCTCCGTCGTTGTCAGTTCGTTTGTATTCCGCCCAACAGTGCCTTTTGCGGCTTAGCAGGCGAAAGGTACGGTTCTTGATTACTGTAGGTGGCTTGCAGCTTTTGGGAACCGTTTGAGGAACTGAATGGTTTGTAGCACATAAGAGCGTGTGCAGTAAGAAGTCCCAATGACCGTCCACATCGAGTTGAGGGTGAATATCCCAAACCACCCGTTGCAGATAGTCATGTAGAGCTGGCACATTCAGCCGTTTAAAATTCCAACGCAAATTATTGTTGGGATACCTTAGCTTAGTTTTGATGACGAAACTGAAGGCTATGACGGCATGATCGCTTTTTCCCAGAGGAGCCAGGATTGAGAGGTTGTCAACTAGGAATTCTTCGTTTGTGAATACACAGTCTAAACGCGATGGTGTCTGACTGTTTCTCCAACGAGTTGCCGACCTCACATTTTCATATAAGCCCAAGTCCCCGATGAGGTTGAAGAACCGAGCTTCAATTGAGTTGTCGCCTCCAGTGTACGTGTGTTCCGCGAAGTTGACTCTAGGGAGATTAAAGTCCCCTAAAATCAGAATGTGTGTGAAACCGAGACGAGTAGAGCGAGATAGTCCTTCCAGCATACGACTATCGTACTCGATGTCGGCAGTTGGCTTCCTGTAAATGACTCCGACTAGACACCTCGAAGTAGTAGACAATCTTACAGATCACCATATGGATTCCTCAAGATTGTTAAACTCGAGGTTATGAACTTGGTGCACCTCCAAGCAAGAACGTATGTAAACGGCTAACCCGCCCCCAATTCCTGATTTTCTGTTGTTGCGGAACAAAGACATCCCAGGTAATGCTAACTCATGGTCCGAGAACTGAGAAGATATCCATGTTTCAGATATTCCTATCAGATGGGCCTTATTAGCATTGCTAAGTTCACGTAGTCCATCCAATTTGTTTGGTAGAATCGCGCTGTTCATATATAAGCAATTTATTCTTTCAACTTGGAACGCATGACCTTCGTCCTGTTTGTCTGTATGAGCCTTACGTGAATGGACAGGTAGCTCACCTATACGAGGTTTGCCGAGGTGGCAGGCCCTGTCCTTTACACGTTTTTTATCGTCTAGACAGTTCGCAAGTGTAATGGTCAGCTCCAACTTGCCTTTGTGTTTGGTCCTAGCTTCGTATGGCCTATCCGGGTGCATGCGGATATCAGGTGACAGTCGACGTCTGTTGGCACGAAATGCTTCCAGAGTTGCAGCCGCCACATGTGAAGATGGGAAGGTTATTTTCATTAGACAGGGTCTAGAATCACCATCCTTCTTGGCTAGTCTCGCCACATGCTGAGTCAGTATGCTTTTGAGCCTCAAGGACTGTTTGATGAATTTCCATTCCCTGATGTCAGTCTTTGATTGAGTAGGGTCCGTATTTTCCGGTATACCTTGGACGGTTATATTCCTCCCGCGGAAAAACTGATCACGAGTTTCTTTGGGGATGTTCCGGATGAGATTGCGCTCAGAATACGGTATGTCAAGCAGTATTCTTACATTCCCATCTGATTTCAGTAAATGACTGGCTAGTAAGACATCCTATACGTCGGTAGCATTTTTAAGTGTTACACGAAGTGGCCTAGGGTGATTTTGATGCTTAGATTCCTTTCCCTGAGTTAGCCATGTGACTGTCAAAGGCTCTATTCTTGGAAGTTCAAGTTTCTTGTTCAATTCTCCCCAGAGTATCCTATCATTTTTTCCTGCAAACTGAGAGGAAGGTCAGGGTTGTCTTTGAGGTTCATGACTATGAGAGAGTCACCACGACCCGTTACTGTCGTCCCAGGTTTTCCAGTGCGTTCAGTTTTAGCACCTTGTTGTTTGGTGGTCGAAGCACGTTTATGAATCCTTTGCTCTTTGATGACCGGACGGACAATCTTGGGGGTAGACTGTGCGACCAGATCACCAGTTGACTTCCGTTCAACAGCTGGGATGTTCAATTTAGACTGTGACACCTGGTCCTTTTTAGCTCTTCTAACGTGCGTCCAATCGCCTTAAGAGTATTGGGGAACCACTGTCGCGTTCAAGGACCTTGAGCTGTGAGACCCGAGTTGAGTAATCATGGTGCTGAGTTTCAGCGTGTCATCATTAATGCTGTTGCATGCTCCGTCGTTGGTAGACCTGTTGACATCCCTGTTCTCGTTTTCAACGCGCTCTCTTGTTTGTCTACGCATTTTTTGACTGTCTTTACACAAATTTGCCGACAACTTGTTCTGCATACCTGTCAATGATATTACTCAGCAAGACTACAGCATCCGTGCTGCACGTAACACATTCCCACTTATGATTCGACTTGCTAGGTCTGTTGTAAGCAGATGCTATGAGATCTGTGCACGCTTCGTGGAACCAACTTTTGCAGTTGTCGCACTGCATGCCGGATGTAACGTCAAAACAGCATCCAGGTCGTTTGCATGAATTTTTCATGACTGTATTGACGTAAATT